TGATAAAGAAAGTTCCTTTTAAGTTTATTTGTCTTGCCGTTTGTTAAGAGCCGTGAAGGGGGGACAGAACAGTAACCGGTGTGATTTTATTTTCATGTTATAATCAGCAGAATCCTGTATGCTGAAGGAGACCTTTATCTCTCAGGTTTATGTTGTGCATCATGACTTAGAAAACCTAGACTGAGCCCCTTAGAGAAAATGCAGTGAACAGAGCACATCTGGAAGGAAAAAGTGCCATCACCTTCTCTGCAATTCCAGTGGCCTTTCTAGACTGAAGGGCAATGTAAAAGCAAAGTAAACAGTCTTAAGCAGAAACCTTCTCTCTCTTCTGCAGTCTGCCATGTGATCAAGCAGGGCCGATGTACACTGGTCACCACGCTCCAGATGTTCAAGATCTTGGCATTGAATGCGCTCATCTTAGCTTACAGCCAGAGTGTCCTTTATTTGGAAGGTGTGAAGTTCAGTGACTTCCAGGCTACGTTGCAAGGCTTGCTCCTAGCTGGCTGCTTTCTTTTCATCTCCCGATCCAAGGTATGATAGAAAAAAAGATGCCTTATTGCAGGTTGGAGGGGAAGATAGGAAATGTGATCTGTGGAGTAGGCAGTAGTAAGCTGGCTATAAAGTTTGGTTCTGTGGCATGTTCTGTGGCATGTAAGGATGCACACAAAATCAAAAGAAAACGCAGGTAACTGTTCTCGCTTACCAAATCATGCATTCAGTGATCGGTCATTGAAGTTGCAGCCATCAAAATGTCCCGATCATCCTGTGTTTGCAATTTGGGTGTTTGGCAACTGGTGCATAATTACAATGGTTGAAGCACTGCACGGTCACATGGTTGCCATTTCCAACCTTCACAGCTGGCTTCTGACAAGGAAAGTTGGGGAAAGTCATCAGGAAGTCACAAGTCATGTAATGTCACATTTAAAGGCTGCAACTGGAACTGACAATTAAGATGCTCTGGTCACATGTCATCACAATTAATATTGTGCTGCTTAGAGTTAGAGTTGCCAGTTCCTGTTTCGGTTGATAAGTGAAGACTATTCACATTTTTTGCAGTTAAGAGCCAATAACCCCAAACCATATTTCAGGAACTGAAATTTAGTTTCAGTGGAACAAAATTCAAAATATTTCGACTGTTTTTACCCTGGGGTAAAATTGGGTAGATACCTATGCTGAACCAAATTACAGAAAATTTGGCCAAGGAAATTGTCTTAAAAATAGTTTGGAAACATTAAACCAACTCACCCACCCCCATAGGAAACATTGTACATACATACTCATCTACTGAAAAGTAAATGTTTAGATTAGAATTTATGAGCACTTTGATCGGGAAATAATTTATTTATTTGTTTGCTTTTGTGTGTGTAGCGGGGGTGAGTGGATGTCCTTGTCTGTCCCTGACATATCCTCATCAAAATTAAATGTGTTGTTCATTGCTTATATTTTTCCTTGCATATAACTATAAAACAAGATTGGCTACTGCAATGATTTGGTTGTATAAAGTTGGGGGATAAAGCAGCATCATTGCAATGCTTCAGGAACAGTATCTTTGAAACCGACACATTTTGTTTCACACTCAACAAAACTACAAGTTTTGCTGTGAACTTGAAACCTTTCGAAATGCATCTTTTGCTTCATGCTGAGAGCATCCAAAACATATAATCCAAGGCTGACGGTTTCAAGGTCATTTTCCACACAACTTACCTTGGGCTAGTCTCCCTCTCTCAACTCTTGGAAGAAGGCAAGGGCAAACCCAAATCTTCCACAAATCTTACCAAAAAAACTACATAGAGTTTCTAGGCCAAGAGTCTTCAACCTTGGCAACTTTAAGACGTGTGGACCAACTCCCGGAATTCCGCTGGCAGATGAATTCTGGGAGTTGAAGTCCACAAGTCTTACAGTTGCCAAGGTTGGAGACCCTGGTCTAAGTAGTCTCCAGGAGTCAAAATTGACTTTGGAAACAGATGAGAACTAGTTTACAGCACTTCTGTGTGTGCAATGTTCAAAATGGATTTGATACGGCAAAGATAGGCTTCCTTTTGACTTCTGTGTCTTAATTCTTCCACCCGGTTGACAGGCCTTATTCTCCTAAGGGGGTCATTTTTCAAAGTAACCATCCTACAGGATGCTTCCCAAGTGAATAATAGTCAGGCTCCAAACTTCCTGTAGAATTCTAACCCTGACCTGTTTCTTCTTCTTTCCAGCCTCTGAAGACACTCTCCCCAGAGCGCCCACTCCCTAATATCTTCAATCTGTACACAGTTCTTACAGTGCTGCTACAATTTATGGTCCATTTTGTCAGTCTGGTATATCTGTATCGAGGTGCACAAGCCCGCAGTGAGCCCAAGTGAGTGCTGTTTGGATTTAAATGAGGGTGTTAAAGTAAAGAAGTAAAAATACCAGAGTTGTAAAGAAATATGGATGTTCTCCAGATAGGTGGCCTTCAGATCCCAGAATTTTCAGTAATGTTTTCAGAATTCTGTGAGTGGAAAGTCAGGTCATCCAGAGGATACTAAAGCATGGAAGGGCTGAGAAAAAAATATTCAAGGCTCTTTCTGTTTCTTTAAGGAAAGAAGACTTTGTGGATCTCTATAAGGAGTTTGAACCCAGTCTTGTGAATAGCACTGTTTACATCATGTCCATGGCCATGCAAATGGCTACATTTGCCATTAACTATAAGGTAAGATGTGCTTAGTTTTTATAATTTCATCATTGCCAATACCTCTCTCCTGATTCATATAGTGCTAGGACCTAAGGTTGCATTTCAGGTCTTGCATTGCGTGTGATATGCAAAGTAGTAGGTGCTATGATGAAACCAAATTTTAACAGGGCATTACAGAAAAAAATGTCTGATTATGCCAAGGAGAACAAGGAGAAATTTGACTATTAGTATAGATCAGGGGTGTCAAAGTCATGCCATTATGTGATGTATCACAACTTTTTTCTCCTTCGCTGAAATGGGTGGACATGGCCAGCGTCTGGCCTGTGGGCCACGAGCTTGACACTCCTGGTATAGATCATATGGATGAACCCATTTTGTAGTTTGAATGCTATTAATGGTTTTGGCTGCTGATTTTAATTTGGGTGCTTTTTATTTTCGTGCATTTCAATTATTAGCCATCCAAAATCATATACAAGATGGGTAGCGGTATAAATAGGTATTTATGGAAACTGGGATCAGGCCCAGATTTCAGAATGTTGAGGTGAATTGTCCTATCTTAAGTGGAATGATTCTAAAAAATAAAGAATTTATTATAAGTAGATTAGATGGCCCTGATGGCAGTTGCATACATAATAAAACTCCTGAGCTTTTACAGAACTCTCATCTAATCATGAAAGGAGTTCATGAGCCAAGGTGGCGCAGTGGTTAAATGCAGCACTGCAGGCTACTGCTAGATCAGCAGGTCAGCGGTTCAAATCTCACCGGCTCAGGGTTGACTCAGCCTTCCATCCTTCCGAGGTGGGTAAAATGAGGACCCAGATTGTTGGGGGCAATATGCTGACTCTCTGTAAACCGCTTAGAGAGGCCTGTAAGGCCTATGAAGCGGTATATAAGTCTACTGCTATTGCTATTGCTATTGCTATTGCTATTCAAAGGTGCCGGCAATTTCTCAGCCCTATTGAGATTAAGATAGGTTGGATGCAAACTTGCACTTTCACCTATAAGCAAAAAATGTGCTCCCATGTCATAATAAAGCTCACAGTGAAGGCGAGGCTGTTATCACATGTAGCCACAGCATTAGGACATGAAAATACCCATTAGTATTATAAGAAAAGTCTTTTCAAATGAATTATATCTTGATCAGCAGTAAAATAGATAAGCTTTTATTGGTATATTGTTTCTACTCCTAAATTACTGCTATGGTTTGGCCTTCTTTCCATGCCTTCGGTTTATTTATCCAGGGCCACCCATTCATGGAAAGCCTAAGGGAAAACAAACCTCTGCTCTGGAGCATCATCATTTCAGGATTAGCAATTGTCGCCCTTTTGACTGGCTCCTCCCCAGAGTTCAATGAACAGTTTGGACTTGTGGATATCCCAATGGAGGTGAGTAAGCAAGACTTTTGCTAAGCATATCCCCCACTATTCCTTTTTTTCCAGTTAGTTGTAGAAATTAAAGGGGTGGGTGGGTTAAAAACTCTACTGTTAACACTGGGTTTGAGAACTTCAAACTTTTTGAATTGGAGGTGTTTTAATGAGTACTTTACTTCCAGCAAATGCAAAATAGTCTCAGGGGACTAGAAGGTCCACAGTGTTATGATTCTGTAGGTTCCACCACAAAACCGCGGTAGACAAAAGCGCGCTCGACGAAAGCGCGTACGTGACGTCATCACAGCGCGATGAAAACATCGCGCTGTGAGCGGTAAATTTAAAATTAAAGCGAAAACCTTACCCTAACCCCCCCAAACCTAAACCTAGACACATATAGTAAGACCAAGTCTAGGCAGCCTTGTTTTGGAATAGGAGTTGCAGGCTTAGCAATGTAGTGAACAGCAAGAACTGTAGATATAATTGGAAACATTTAGAAATCTTATATTGCCTAGCCCTTAGCTAATTATGTTTTTAAAACTTGAGTTAATTTCCCATGCAACTACCGGTAATAATGAGTTAAAAAATATAACCAAAGGAAGGTTGTAGCTGTATGCTGCTTATAGTTACCAATAATGGATTTCTTAGTAAATTTATGAGTGGGACAGATGACCAGCTTACTAAATTCCTTGCTTACTGGAGTTTGGTATCAAATAAGCAGCAAGATCAGCTGCCATCATTATTTCAGGACTACAGAACAGTTTTCATACCAGGCTTGATACATACTAGATTTGAATGCAATAGGAAAAATGTTCTTTCTTGGACTTTTTTGGTGCATCTTGTTTATTTTTCTATTTCAGTTTAAACTAGTGATCACTGGAGTTCTGGTGACCAACTTCTTCATTGCTCTGCTCATAGACTGGATCCTGCAGTTCCTATTAGGCAGCACAAAGCTCAAAGTGCCTTCTTGAGACTCTTTCTTCTCCCTTGGCAGAAGTGAAGTGAAGGACAGTCAGAAAGAGACGCCATCGAAATGCAGCACTACGAAAGGAATATTTATTCTTTGATAGCTGTTTTATTCCAGTTGGGGACTGGCAAGCAGATTTTTATTGTGTTAATTCTGGAAACCACAACAAAAGTTGTGCAAGGGCCTACATTAATCTTCACAGGTCTGCCAAACGGAGCAGCAGTTGTTAACCTTTGTACTGCCTCTTCACTCCTCCTAGAAAGGTGGTCATGAGATTTGATAATAAAATGGCAATCAGTGCATTTTGGAATATGCAGGAATATTTTTCTTTGATTTAATATATTCTTAGTTCCTACCTCCCTATATGAAATCTCAGTGTGGTGGTCATATTTGCAATTTTTAAAACAGATTTCTGCCTAAAGAAGGTTGCTGTGGAGCAATATCTTTCATTTTTCATAAACATACTTTATTGGCAGGAATACATGTTTCAGATTGTTTGAAAGAGTCAGAAATAAGTACAGAGATAACTTTTCTGGTAGAGTAAGCCTCTTATTTTTTAAACATTTTTTTTCAAAGAAAGTAGATATGATGTTTGGAAAAACTGTACAAAAGTAGTGCTACTCGTACCTATAGCAAATTATAATAGCAGGATTATACCAGTTTCAGCTTGTAAAGCAATGCCCCCCCCCCAACAGCACAATCCCTTTGAGGCAGGCACTTCCATCAGCTTAGTTGAGTCAGCTTGACCACCCGTAAGCCCCTAGTGGCAAGAACTCTCAAGGAAATAACAGATGCTATGAAATGGTGGGTGGGAGTCTCGCAGCTGCAGTTCTTTCAACTACAAAACTGTAGTCATACTATAGAAAAGCAAAAAAAAATATGGTTACAAAAAAGCAAGATCTCCATATTCAAAACCAGAAGGACTCGCAGCTCAGCTACAATACATGAATACATTTGTAAAGAAACGACACATTTGATTTGGCTAAACAAAATTGTTTGGCTCTGATCTGAATGGGACAAGGATCCAAGTCTGAATTAATCTTTAAAGTAATGAAGAGGTGAAATTTTGCTCACCTCTTTCTCAATGTCAGCAAGAGATTTGATGTGGAAGTTTTTAAATATAGAAAGCGCCTAGAAAATAAAAACAAATACAATCATTAGCCAATTAATCTAGACTAATTTATAGAAATTATTTCTATCAATATTGCGAAAACTTAAAACTAATTTCTGCACTAAGTAGATTCAAGTGCCTTCCATTCTTACAATTCTTTCTTACTCCAAAACAGCTAAACATGTTTTCTCATTAACAACATTTAATCTAAATGAATTAGGTGAGAGAAAGCTCACTGAAGTTTTCTGGTAAGTTTTTAAAAAGTAAGACAGCTGAGAGCACTCCACATGATAAGTTGCACTGTTTTTTTCCCCCAGTATGTTATCTGTATTTCGTCAACCAGTCATTCTTTTAAATTCTGTTTATTGGATTTTTTAATATAATATACCATCTGTGCTAAGACTAACACTTCTACAATGCTGGTTGGGAATATTGTGAGTAGTAATTTCAAGTTGGAGAAAGCCAGACATTTGTCAATCTGGGAATGGAACTCAAGACTATACCATTGGGGTGAGGAGTTATTTCCATACATATCTACAACACCTTCAAGCTACTTCCAGTTTGGAGATCTCTTTCTAGAAGCTGACTCTATTCTGGACTGACACGGCCCAGGGAGAATGTTTTTTGCAAAGTGTCATTTCCAGAATAATGAAGTTTGCATCAGGAAGGAATAGATATGTGTTTCTAGAAAAATCTATAATTTTCATCTATTTTTGTCTTTTACACCACTGTTACATGACTAACAGAAAATACTTACAGTGGCACCACGGGTGACATTGTTCTCAAACTTAGGATGCAGAGTAAAAGGGACCCCATCTATGGCTAAGAAGGAAACAAACACTCAGGTTCAGATTTCCCATGGGAAAAGTAACAATATTTTAAAGTGGGTGATTATTTATAGATCATCAAGGTGGCACACAACAAAGCATAATACTGTAGTGAAAGGTTAAAAATGTTACGATAGTAAAGGGTTTAAAATGTTATAAAACATAACTAAATATTTATAATTCAAATACCCACTTTACAGAAATACCTTCATAGATTTTCTAAACCCAAGAAAAAGCAACACAGAAGACTCTTTCCCCGGTACTGTACAAGAAATCACTCTGCAAAAGTAATATTTTCAAGAGGTTACTCTGCCAGTACTTAGAAAATGTGACATAATTCCCAGGATAAATATCTAAGCGCAATAACTGATGCACAAAATGTAGGAAGCTGCATCACTATCTGCAACTCATTTCAATAAAATTCCAGAAAGCTGCAAAACAGGCAACAATAGAGGTAGTCCTCAAATTATAACACTTCAGTGACCATTCGAAGTTGCAATGGTACTGAAAAAAGTGACATGATCGTTTTTCACACTTATAACCATTATGGCATCCCCATGGTCACGTGATCAAAATTTGGATGCTTGGCAATAAATTTGCATTTATGACAATTGTAGTATCCTGGGGTCATATGATTTTGCAACCTTCTGACAAGCAAAGTCCATGGGAAAACCAGATTCACTTAACAACTGTTACAACTGCAGTGATTCACTGTGGCAAGAAAGGTCGTAAAATGGGGCAAAATTCTTAACACTTAACAACTTTTTCACTTAGCAACAGAAATTTTGGTTGTCAAGAACTACTGTATTTAATAGGCCAAGAAAATAATTGACAATTAGTGTAGGTTTTTTTTTTCAATGTTCAATTACTATATCATGCTCTACTAATCAAGCTGTCATCCTTAAAACCGACCTCTTATAAGATAGACTGCCTCCAGAAAGGCAGAGGCTGGTGTCAGTACTGCTATGAAAAAAATCAGGGGTAATACAAAATTAAAAAGCACTATAAAGTTGATCTTTCAAAGAGTGCAACTCCTTCCAGAACACACTGCATCCCAGCCCCCATGCCAATTATCATTCTGGTCTGGATTGAATGTTATTTTGTTCACTTTGTTATAAGGTCCTCATAATGTAGGACCTTATTAAATGTAAATATGACTAAAGACACTAAGCACACTAAAAGCACCTAATTCCAAATAAATCTCCAGGCGCTTCATATGCCAAAGCACATATAAAAGCATGCCTGAGTCTATCCTTCTCTAGTTCACATTTTAGGGATGTTCCAGTGGCTTTCCAGAAGTTAATCTGAAGTAGAAGCAGGCATGGTGTGCCAGTTGAAACAAGCCTAGATTAAGAGCAGTATAATCCAGATAGGTCTAGATTTAAAAGGACTCCCAATTTCAAAACTGCTTTCCTCCTGTAGGCAAAAAAACCATATCCTTCCTGCAAAGGTATATTAATCTTTAACCATAGCATCAGTTCTATCCTGACAAATGTAAACAAAGCAGTCATTACTGGGCTATATATAACAAAAGTTCACATTTCGCCTTAATTATAAGGGACAAATCATGCCAAATTTCAAGAAAGAATAAATATACCCATTGGAACATTTCCTGAAGTTCAGTTCTACGCTTCTTTCTCCCATAAAAGCAGAATACACTTCACCTCCTTGAACAGAAAAGGTACTTACCTGAAATTCCATAGGCATTTGACGTATCATATATAGATTCATTTTTCTTAATGGTCGTTTGCCTTTTGGAACCAATAGATAGAGAGTCTACACTGAAAGGATTAAAATCAAGAAACACACAGTCTGTTAGTAGATTGTGAACTATATTGTTTCAATCATTTCCCAGAATCTATTAGCTTTCATAGGTGCTTGCAGCACCTTGAAAAAAAATCTTTGCTCTAGCAATAATTGTAAACATAATTCTTCCCGAGGAAGGTAAGAATTGCACAGTAGAAAAATTAATTTAAAAAATTAAAAATAAAAAGTGAAACATATTGTATCATAGAAAAACTATATATTCATTCAACAGAATAATGCACTTTTGATACTTAAGACAATCATGACAGAGCCAAAATGATTATTGATCCCTGTATTCATCAGAAAAGATGTGTTTTCTCCACAAAGTACTATCTTTGGTATGAGATTACCTTGCATGCACTGAAAATATGGAAATAAAGGCTATTGAAAGTGAAGACACTTTCTTACATAGAAGATCTGAAATATTGTAGATACATTAGATAGTCCTCAATCTAAACCATAACTGGAACCATTTGTCTCCCAAAGACAAGAATGAGTCCTTTCAGCAAGCAGCAGCTTGCAAAATTCCCTGTTGGCTTCCCCAGTGATTTTCTTGGAAGTCGGTAGAGAAGATGCCAAATGGTGATCACATGATTATGGACACTTGGCAACCTGTCCTTAACTACAAACAAATTGCAGAGCAGCTAAATTGCAATCACATGACCATAGGAGTGGTGGGCAACATTTGGTAATGGCCAGAAGTGCACTGTAGGCAATAAAGCTGTTTTTAGAGGCCATCATAATTCCAGACCATTGTTAAAGGAACAGCCTTAAATCAGAACCACTTGTAACCTTCTCATTCTTTTGTCACTCTCCAGGAGCAGAGTCAGGGTCTTTGCAATAGACAGTTTATTCTGCCATGTAGGCTTATTCATGTGAATAAGGGTTGTAAAAATCATTGTTAAATCCGTAAAAAAGCAAGTTTACTGGAGATAATATTACATGTGGGGACACAGATTATATGGTAAAACTAAGAGGATGACTCAACAGAAACAGAAGTCCTAATCATATTGGCAATAAAAATACAATGAGACATGCAATAGAACAGAGGTAGTTCTTTGACTTTGTTTGCTTGACGAGAGTTTGAATTAACAAAGGCCTTGGAAAGAGTGCTTTACAGTCTGTAAAGCAGTTCCAACTATTACAAATATTGAATCAAGCACAAAGACAAAGACACACATACACACACCAATCATGTGATTGCAACCTGGGTGTTTGGTAACCTGTTTGCACTTATAACTGACTATCAAGTGCCTCACAATCATGGGAGCTCCCATGGGTGCTGCCAAAGAATTTCGGCTTCAGACGTGCTTGCATAGAACTGAAACCCTTTGTGTCTGCTTCCCTGGAGTTAAAATCCTTTGTGCTTGCTTGCACCAAGTTGAAATTCTTTGGCAGTGAGCTCTTTCAGCCAACTCCTAGATGAAAGGAAGTTGAAATCCAAGCAGGATTTTCAGCCCGACTGGAGAAGCAGCACAGTAAGGAAAGGAGCATGGAATACCTCAGGAAAACAATGGAGACTGGGAGGCCCAGTGCAGGTCACACACAAGTGTCTCCCCATTGTCCTGAGACCCCCCTGCATTGCTTGTCTAGGACTCACTTTG